ACATCGATTGTCGATGATTCAACGACACTCTCCAGCGCCATGGGCAGTACCAAAGAAGTTGGGCTAAGCTATCATACAACAATCACACTCTGTCAAGACTTTTCTGACATTTCAGCACGACCTTCGGAAAGGAGTTGGAAGGAGGCTAGAAAGTCAGAGAGTGAATTCTCTGAGGTACCCACAAGTCTGCAGTGCCCAGCTGGCCGGCCTCTTTGAACGCTCAGAAGGGTCACTATGTCTTCGGACTTACTCCTGTTTTCAATATTAGGAGAGCCTAACGCCCGGTAATTTTTGCGATTTTTCCCGGCTGCCATAAAATCGCAAATGACCATCGCTTTGTCGTTGGAGAGGGAAATAATGAAGGGCAAAAGGCTCCTGAGTGTTTGATCAAATGAAGACTATTGAGAGGAGCTATATAGGAGGCATAGGAAGGCATATACCACTGGAAAAGTATCCTTAGCCTTTAGGCAGAGATGGCTTGGATGTCCTACATAATCATAGACCATGGAAAGACAATAATATGATATAAAATTTATGAGTGGAGTGTTAAAGGAAGATGCGTGGAGTATTAGGCATTGTACTGCTTTCGGAAACTGTTTCGAGCTGAACCCTTTTCCATTAGGCTGGGCTGTCTTTCAGCCCCAGCCTCGTTCAAGTATATTGGTCACGTGACATCGCGTAGGGTCGTTTCTAACGACTCGAATCACTGTCTTGATTATGCTGAGGCTGGGAAACAGATCACCCAGTTGCAAAGGAATGCGTGTCAGGAATCTAGATCGCTGGTAGCTTCGGTGGATATATTTAATGTAACGGATTTTCTGTGATTAAGCTCTGTTGAAAAATATTAATTCTTTATGGTATTGTCTACGTGCGGTGTCCGTAATTCTCCTCGCCCTTAACAGTGACTTGGCCAACATTGCACATAAATTACCTGAAACCTTCAAATATGTTCATCACTCCCGTTGAAGATGACCTAATTTAGAGTATTCGATCCTGATAAAGCATACTGTGGCATGGACCCATACATGAGACACAGGAATAGACAAGTTACTTGCATAGTGTAAAACTTAGAGAGGTCTTCGTGCGAATCTCACGTGAATCGTCAAAAGGTAGAAGCGAATACAAGAATGAATTGATTAATTGTCTCCGTGCTGCGAGTCCATCGTAGCACTATAATATCTAGTTCTACCCTATTAATGCCCCTGATCATCATTACTAGTCTGACATGCCTGCACGCAGATCTTGCTTTCGCTTTTTGACTGGATCCAGACTTATGCAAGCACAAGTCTGCTTACACATAGGTATCTTTGGACTGTAGGCGAATGCAGTTGGTGGATACCTACGGAGCTCATGTTTTTTGGCTTCAGAAACAGTACTCACTCACATCTATCAATGTCATGGGGTAACTTAGGCCTCCGATAACGCAAGCCGATAAGACATGGCAAAAAAATTTCAACTCGAACCGGGACATCGCGCAACAAATTCCAATATTATTTGTCACTAGGAAGCCCTGTAGATTTCGGACTCGGAGGTTTTTGGCTTGTCCGTGACTTGAATCCGTCTCATCTGAAAAACTTCAAATTTCACGATAGAGGGCTTATTCAGACCCTCGAAGCTAACGCAATAGCTCTAGCGCCCTCAACCCCCGTCTAGGGAGGTTTGTGTGCATTTACTGGGAAATAGACGCCTTAGCCAAAGCAGGCGGTGAACCATTTTACGCGTATTTCCTAGCTCGGGATTGAGTGAGTGAGTGGTTGTTTATTGTCCTAAAAAGTCTGTAACCATGTAAGGACATGTAGGTCTTTTCTGCCTACAGGTCGGGAGTATCTATGCCTCGGATAGTGTACTCCCTCCTTTGCCTCCCTCACGACTTCTTTCCAGCAGCAATACCCCCACAGGTCTTCATTCGAGTACACAGTAAGAGGAGCCGTTATCCCGGCATTATCTCCCCTCTCCAGCCAACGAAACGATGGCCATTTGCGGGTGTGTAGCTGCTGAGAAAAGTCTCAAAACCACTGGGTGCAGGGCTCTCCTATGACGAAGAGGTCGGCCAGCCGGGCGCAGCAGACCTTGGTATACCTAAGAGCGTCTCTCAACCCTCCTAGCCTCCTCCTTCCTCTTTCCCTGATTCATGCCGCAGGACAAACCGAATGTCGTGAAAGGATGTCAGAAAAGTCTTGGTCGAGAGAGACTGTCGCGAAGGAGCCTAGCCTAGCATCCAAAAGTCGTTACGGACGTGGGGTTGTCGAGTAACTCGTGTATTTCAGATGCCCTCCTGGCCAGTAGATTCGGAAGTTATGATTAGTAGGGACGATATTTTTGACGAGTCGAAATCTGCTTTTCTTGAGGGCGGAAGGGTCTTTTACTTTGCTTTCGTGGGCTTTTTGTTCGCCCGCCGGCTGGTAGCACATGTTGTGATATAACGAGGGCTTCTATCACTACCGTTGTAGCGTTTGATACCGCATAATCTTTCCCCATTCCCAGCATCATTATCATCGTCTTGGTCGTCTTGTGTGTTATCGGAAGCGTATCTTTGACGGAGGGGGAGATAACTCAGCTCTGCAGACTCTACAGTGAGAGCTGGAGGTTCGTAGGGGACACCACTGCAGGTGTTGAGAATAGTCACCCTCCTAGCTCGGGATCAGTTTGGCTCTGCTGATTGAATTTTGCTGTAGTGCATCGCGGGGCCTGGTCTGCCAAGTATATTCTGCAAAGTATGTACATCGATTCCACATGAGACAGGAGACAGCTGGTTCAAATCAACCAAGAAACGACGGCATCTCTCGCGATTCTCGTGCTCAGGACGACATTGGCAGGCTTGAATAATCGATAGTTTTGAAACTTCTCTTCGGAGAGTACTAATGGACGATGGTCGAGGTTTTTGTACAAGAATGCATAGCTCAAAGTGGTTTTTGTAGGTGGAAGCCAGAGTATGAGTATCGCTGCAGAGATGAGAGTCATCCAACATATATACACAGCACTAAAAATGTGTCATAGATATACAGCTAAATGTACTTTAAACTAATTAAAAAAAATTATTTATCACGATATGGGTCCTGCTAGATACTCCATGTCCTAGAGATGGAGCAGATGTTGACATTGGCCCAAACATGTCGCATTCTCATTCTGCAATCACAATGCCCCTTTCGTGAGAAGCACCCAACTGATTGGCCTAGTCCGTGGTCCAATGTCTGACAGCGAGTCTAATAAGATAGCAAATTCTTTAGTGGCATGTTAGCCTTCCTCAACCACCCATGTCAGGATGGCTCACACTCGAGGGCAAGTCATAGCCAAAGTGAAGTGGCCACTAGTTAAACCACGAACCCATACGGTGTAAAGGCAATCTACGCTCGAGCAGGTGATAATATGTTCTACCAGTTAGACCAACAGCCAACATCGATCGCTAAGCCCACAAAAACTACTTGCTGAAATTACTCAAAGTCGTATCCCTCGCATTACCCAGATGCTTGATGTCTCATGGACACATACAGCTCCATGGTATGCCTTCCAGAGGGACTTCATGCAAACTCCAAGTGATCAGGTCACCCTTGCCATTTATATAAGTAGCTCGCTAGCTGAGATACACCAAAACCCGAATGCCATGCGCGCGAGTCTGAGGTGGGAGGAGACGATCGGGCATGTCAGAGGAGTAAATTTTCTCGAATTTTCCCGATGGCTGGTGCGTAGGGGCGAGGAGAAAATCAAAGTTTTACAGCGAACAGCAGCTAGTATGTGAACTGACTACTAACAGATATCCCTTTCTATCAAACAGCCGGCGGAGGAATGGTCTCCACACGGGCTGTACCCAACTGGGTGCAAGGTACGACTCAAACAGCCCAAACCAAATTGATGACTACCACACAAATACATGCCTCACGCTCCTCTCCTTGGCTACGTGTTTGAATATAGCTTTCCTGAAAAATAGCTAAGCACTCCAATCTAGGCTTGTCTACTCCGTCATCTCGACTAATGTAAAGTTCCCAATGATCAGGAGTGGCCTACTCGCAATCGTATTGCTTCGTTCAGCGCTTCGGTGAACCATCTATAACCTTGCTTTAGAGGAGCGTTTCATCTAACCTCTTAATTCATTAATGGCGCTGATGTAAGCTTTACCCATGAAACTGTAATGGAGTAATAACACAGAGAGAATTCGATGAATCCGTAATGAGTAGCAATATCGCATGGACCATCACCATCGACATGTCTTTTGTGAACCAAAGTTTTGCAGCGTTATTTACGTCGATAATCATAGCAGTAACTTTGATACTTTGTTTTCTTCGTTACCCTCTAGGTCTAATACTTCATCTTGATCCTCGTCTTCCCTTTCGCCGCGCGCTTTCCCCTTTGACCGTCGGACTCCCCTCTCGACCCGTATCATCAGCCTACGCATTCTCTCCAACTCTATCTCTAGTTCCCCGTCTCTTGTTACCAGGTTTCCCTGAACCATATCCCTGCCAAACATATCCACTAGACATTTCAGTGACTGAGACTTGGCCAGCTTCTCCCTCATGGATTTTCTCTGTGTACTCAACTCTACCAAACGAAGTCGTAGATGTTCATAGGTGTTTGAAGTTTCAAGCGTCTCGCTACTCCATTTATCGGGTAGCTGTTCGATGACCTCGTCGGCACAATAGTCACAGCCGCGCTCTGCCCACATCTCGGTTCTCTTGACCGTCTCATCACCCACTACAGCGTTCCAGTGAAGCCGATCGATCTGTTCGGCGACGTGGCGTTGGGCACGAAGACCGTAGGCTAGGCGATTGTGCCGCCTTAGCAAGTGGTTCAGTTTTTGCATAACATGGCTGATGGTTTCGTCGTCCACGGAAGGCGTATGAGACAAATTTGAATCTGTAAAGCTACTCGACGGTTCAAAGCTTTTTGATAGAAGGCTTATTTGTTGGCGCAGAAAGAGGGCCTTGAGGTCGAGGATTGACGGAGTTTTGGGATTCATTTTGCTGCCATGAGGGGGTTGGGTGTGTAGCTTGGCCTTGAATCTCTAGATGCTGCGGCCACTAACGCGCCTAAGTCGCGTGGGTCGGTGCGCCAGGCTGAAGGCACAACCCGACCTAAGAATTGCACCCGACAACGACCTGGGCGTCACGCAACCGCGACTGTTCAAGATGTCGAAGAGAGCCATCAAAGGCGAGTACGTCGAGACTGTAAGCAACTACTTGGCCATTTTTTGTCCTGCGACCCCATCCAGCAGCCCAATGGATGTCTAGAAGTCAGAGAGACAAGGCCCCGGCTAACCTGTGCATCCCCAGGACACTGGAAACAAGGTCTCGCGACGCTCACAAATCAGTGGGACGACAAATATCATTCTGGGCGGCAAAACGGTGATTCAAGCGGAAGTCATCATTCGCGGTGATCTAGTGCGGACCTATGCCACGTCGAGCGGAAGCGCAGAAAAGGGTAGCGCCAATCAGGTCGCCGTCTCCATCGGCCGTTACTGCTTCTTTGCGCGCGCCTGCGAATTGAGGCCACCGGGAAAACTGTATAAGGGGCAAGTGAGGCGTTCCGGAGGACGCTTCCCTCGCCGTTGTCCTTGGCCATGACTGCTGACGGATCTTACCACAGGCAGTTTTCTCACTATACCCAGCGAATCGCGGACCATGTCTACGTCGGCCCGGGATCAGTGGTTGAGGCGGCTCTCATTGGTAGCCATGTTAACATTGGCGCCCACTGCATAATCGGTAAATTTGCCATTCTCAAGGACTACGTGCGGGTGCTAGAGGGTTCCGTAATTCCGACCAACATGGTCGTGCCGAGTTTCTCTATCGTTGCCGGCCGGCCAGCACTCGTGGTAGGCGAGATCATGGAAGGCGAAATGGAAGGCATGGAGCTGAGAGACCTATATCGTAGTGTGGGGAACTCTTAAGCTCCATCGACGGTCTTCGAAGCGCAAAGCAGAGAGATGCGGAGGAGAAGCGCGGAAACTAGGGGTGATCATGGGCGATATCCATTGGTCGACATGATCTTTCATGGACGCTATTACATGCAGCATACCCTCACCACAGACTCGAGCAACTCTTCACAGGTCTCGACGGCTTCAGGGCATGAAAATTTAGTCACTTGGCCAGAATGGTTATCGTCCTAATTTAGAAATCGACCACGATTTCACATAGTTGGAGCTGGAAGTATGAGATGGGCGTGGCCAATGATATCAACTCGGCGTCCAGCACGGTCCACATGCTTACCAGGCAACCACGTAAAGATTATGTGATAAATTTAGATATGGAGCTTTCGCTCAGAGCGCGCTAATCTTGTTTAGAGGTTCCACAAAAAGCTTGCTTGAAGGTGTGAACCTAGTGGATATTTCCACTTGTGTGGGATAGCTGCACTACGGCTCGAACCACTCTACGTGCCACTCCCGGTTGGCAACGGGAAGGTGCGTAAGCGGGGGAGGGCCGGCAGGAGAAGTCTCCAAACATCCCAAGGATTAATGCCAACTGGTGTTCCCTGCCACTCATCCTCGGCATGAGTAGCGCTCGACGAGACTCATCGACCCATTGTTCCGCATCAGGAGGGGAACGCGCAGCACGCTCAGTATTGCCCTGAAACCGATGAGGCACCGAATGTGAATCCGACTTATTCGGCTTATGCGCCTTCGGACCGGGTAGATCGAAACCTCAGCCCGTCGCCGTAAATCGACTGCTACCTGCCTTGGCTGTATAGAGTCAGTAAATCACACGCCGGATCTATCTTGCCAAACTTCATCGCCCGGCAGCTCACCCCTCAGAGTCAAATGAGTGGCCTGATATTCATAAAAAAAGCTAAAAGTTTGTATTGATCATGTCCTGGTATAGCTGGCAGCTATCTGATGATTCAAGTCTTATCTGTCACAGTACTAGTATTAGGATGTCATTCTGTAATTTAGGAAGTTATGTGCCTCAGGCCTCACAAATAAAAGGCTTTAGCTTCATTTCCTTTTCTGGACTAGTGAACATTATTATTAGCCAAAGATCCATAAAAAACAAACAAATATGTGATGGATCACCACAAACCCTTTGCTGGTCACAGATTTGTGCAGGGGTTTAAGAAAATAAGCTGATAAAAATGTGAGAAGTCCATCGCCTGCATCCATGTGGATGAAACTCTTCTGGCCGAGACTACATTGGGCTTTGGCACAAACATTAATTCATTTTATTGTCCTGTCTGAGTCTATGACTGTGTGGGACATGAAGGTCCTCTCTGCCTATAGGCCAAGGATACCTTTACCAGTAGTATATGCCCTCCTATGCCTCCCATACAGCTCCCCTCAAACAGTATCACCCCTCACAAGTCCTCAATCGATCATACACTTAGATGAACCCTTTGCCCTTCATTATCCCCCCTCTCCAGCCAACGAAACGATGGCCATTTGCGAGTGTGTGGCAGCCGGGAAAAATCGTAAAAGTCACTGGGTGCGGCGCTCTCCTAATAACGACATTAGGACTAATTCCGAAGACATAGTGATCCTCCTGATGCGTTCAAAGAGGCCGGCCAGCTGGGCGCTGCAGACTTGTGGGTGCCTCGGAGAATTCACACTCTGCCTTTCTAGCCTCCTTCCAACCCCATCCCGAAGGTCGTGCTAAAATGTCAGAAAAGTCTTGACAGAGTGTGATTGCTGTATAGTAGCTTAGCCCGATGGGTATTTGTATTGTCGTGGGCGTGCATTTGGAGGCTGAGTGTGAAGTGCGGAGTGAAATCACTGAAAAACGCTATGTAATTTTTTTTTTTGCATCAGATTTTAATTGTGTATGCAGCTACCTAGCTATGACACAATATCAAAGAAAAGTACAGAAAAGATGACTCAATTTACAAGAAAGGCATTCACGCCTCGGATTTTATTTGCAAGTACCACTGCAAAGTTATGGTGGCTTTTTCTTCACCCCAACTCAACCCTCATCCGTGAATACCCACCCAGGGGAACGTCTCAAAACCCTGTGTTATCCAGACATGCCTCCATCACCCATCAACTTTTCTCCGCGCGAAATTTAATCTGAGATGTCTCCTTCCCAAGTAGAGTAGGTGCCCAGGCTACTCAAACTATACCAGAGAACACCACCAGGAGGCGGACCACAACACCTTCGATGGTTTGCTTGTTTTTATAGTGTCAGTTGCACTGTCGCAATCGAAGTCTTGACGCGCACAAAGCCCAATTCCTAAAACTCCTTGTCAAAATTTTGAATTTCACGCCCTTCGAGGTTACATCCTTCCTTTGCATCATCTTGTCAACTTGTCCTGATCTCTTGCATGTCCATCCCAAAGATCTATCTCCCAGATTTGTGCTCCACGCTTTGCTTCCTCCGTCGGGTATAAATATCGGCGTGGGCGTGTATTTGGTGACCGGCTGAGGCCAGAGAAAGTCGACGAGAGGTATGGTCATTGAAACGAGGATGTACTAGGTCGTACTTATAGACTTGATGAAGCTTAGTTGAGAATCGGACTCTTTGGGAGTGAAAGATTGACATGGTGGAGTAATTTGAAATATTGCCTCGTGGGCCAACTTCTTTGATATTACGAAATTTGACAGAACTTGGCTCTGGGAGAATATTTCACTCTCAGGTTCGTAGAGGACACCCCGTACAGCTGTTCAGTCTTGCCCTCCTGTTATGTACTATGTTGTGCTTGAAGACCTGACTAAGCTTTGGTTAGAGCCTAGCCTTATTTAGAACAAAGATTTCACACGTTTGGGAGTCTTACGTCGTTGCTTCTTGGGCCAACTTATTCGGTATTGCTACATATGACTGAATGATTTTTATTGTACTACTTGAGTCTATGATTATTTAGCACATTAGGCTCCTTTCTGACCCAGGCCACACCTTAACACATATGACTGAACATGGCTCTGGAGAAATATTTTACTGGCTCGTTGGGAATACCGCGGACAGGAGTTCAGTCTCTGCCCTCCTTCGCAGTTCTTCATAGTTATGGGCACAATAGGGACTTGGATTTAAATTCTTTTCATTCTTATGAAAGATAAGTGGGACAAGAAATTACATTATAAATGTTGGCTAGAGTGTCACAGTTACGGATGATATCTATGCACTGCTAAGAAGGTCATGTGGCCTGCCTAGCTTAGTTTACATGAGTTAGTAAAATACTACTCATAGACAGTCTTTTGCACGATGATTGATTATTTAAATTTTTTTAAATGGCGTTGTGCCTGCCGAACATTGATTCTGCACGTCATGTCAAGTCTTGTTGCCTCAGTCACTCACGTGTAATCAGCGAGAACGGCTTCCGAAGTTTGGGGGAATACCGAAGGATAGCTAGTTTAATACCTCTGCAGTCCAAAAATCATTCAACGTCGCGCATCGAATTTCGGCTTCCCGTATCTCTCTGATGGGACCAAAAGTGTTGGGCGAGGCTCATGATAGGGCACTGCTGGTATGCACGATTGTTCTGTTTCAGGTCTACTGCTTATTTACCCTCCGCTTCCGTGTATTGTCGAAAACTCGTCACTAGCAAACGCCCACAGCTACCGCCATCTCCGCCCGTCCCACGCCAACAGTTTCATGCATCAAGAAGACGTCGAACCTTAAAGCCCATGAAAATGACTCGCGCATGGACAGCTCCCCCTAGCCTTTAGGACTTCGGCATATCTCCGCGCCTAGGTACAGCTCAAGGGATGAGCTTCAGCCTTTCCTTACAACCTAGCACAGGCACAAACATCAACTCCCGGCCGAGCTGGGGCGGGGAAGCCTCGGCTCGCTCGTCCATCCATTTCCGTTGACCCACATTCATACATGATAGTACGGGATCTCGCTGGTCCCTTCATTTTATGGTGCCGATCTATCAATGACAAAGTAGAGTGAGTTACGCTGTGAGGTGTTGATTAAATTGATTAAAGTCTCTAGCCAACCCTCGCTAGCCGTCAGCTTTTACCGCCATGAGAAAGAAAATACAATCGATTCGTAGGCGCTTCAACCCATGCGTCCATGTAGAATCAGCTTTGAGGCCAGCTTAAGGGAGGCGTCGCGCTCGACATCGACCTGAAATTGCCGCGACCGGAATGACCTGCAACGGAAGTGCACCGATGCCCAAGCTTAATTGCTTTTTCCTAAGCCCTTTTCCGTCTCTAGTGGCAAGAGAGTGGGCGTGCGCATGCTCTGTCTTCTGCATTTGTAGCCGATGGTGTTTGTCTACACATGAAGCTACGACAGCGCACGCGGGCAATCAATTTGCTGTCAGGCCTATCGGCATTGTGCGCATACACGACCTTGATAATTTCTGAATCTTCATCATGGCATGACAATTCCGAGAGAGTTCTGTCTACGGAGAAATAACTCACCCATCAGTAATAACAGGCATGAGTAGATAGGAAGCAATTTCTGCGAACAATCATAACCGATCAATGGAAATTCAGACTCATGGAAAATCAAAGATGTGAATTAAACTGGAAGGCTTGTCACCCTCCCCTTTGTATGCACTGAACGTGGTTTGTCGTAGATCGAGGTTAAGTACACAGAGTTGTCCGATGGTATCTACGGCCATGCTATGGTTGATGCGCTGCAATCTCTAGTCCCTACATCTCGACAGCACGATTAATCAATTTGTTACTATAGATTCCACGAACCAAGTGACATTAGTAGCAGATTATATTCCGCGGGTAAAGGGTTAAAATTCTCATCGAATCCCGAGGACATGGTAGAGCAAGGCCAAAAGGAAGCCGCTGGAGAGGGCCGTCACTAGTCATCAGCTCAGGATTGAGATCAGGCTTCTATGCAGTTCGTTATTCGAATACAAGCTATAAGAGCGATCAATTGAAAACGCGAGATGCTCCTTCACACCCATAGCTACATCGGTGATGAAAAAGACGTTGAGAAGAAGAGACGGTCGGAACTAGAGCGACGTAGCTGAGTCCCCTAACGCGATTAAAGCTGATCTAGCGGTAATGTTTAGCAATTTTCAGTGCTGTCACTTGTCTGGGCTCACGATAAAAGTACCAGTCAGGGTATCTTCCACTAATTTAGAATTGAATCGGGACCCGCGGCTTGGTCTCAAGGGTCTACGTGGCCGCTTGAGAGAGATTTCAGTCATGAGACCCATCATGGCACGCAGTGGGCGAGGGCGCCGGAAGTCAAGGACAGCTACAAGTGAAACCATTGGCGTGCCGGCAGGGAATTCTTGGGTTGATAACACGCAGACATATGAGGCCTAACCCGAAGCTTGCAGACCGATGGACCAAGATCATTATTTCTGCACACTTCAAGCCCCTTCGTTGGATAGGGCTGTTTTTGTCTCGAGCGGTGCGATTGAGCGTGTATCTTGAAATTTCTGGAAACTGTACCCATGAGACCTAGTAACATGAGAGGTGAAAATGCCAGAGTTCCTGCAGGTACTGGCCCCATATTTTGTCACTGGCACTGCTACAATAGTGTATCCAAAACATCGATATCTGGCTGAAACAGTGTGGAGAATCTTCATGCCAACAATCCTTAGTCCTGGCGCATGAAGACAGCTTCGTCGCCGTTCCGCCCGTCCACATGGGCATTGATAGATCACGTGATAAACTGGACAAGGATAATATGGTTAGCGAGTAACGGGGGAGTAATGATGCTAAAAATAACTACTACAGCCTCAAGTCTTGGCTATTTGGTCGTCGAGAAAAGCGTCACAGTCTCCCTCAACTCCTCAACCCGCCGCGGCCCAGCTTTCGGGTGTACCCTGAATCGCCGTGATGTATCGATGGTTTATCGTCTCCTGAGCTAGGTGCCATGGCCGTTGATGACAGAAGGTCACAGACGTTTTCCACCCCAAGCGGCTTATCCTTTATTTGACTAACTACCCCATGTAAAGGCCCCTCGGAGGGCTCAGCCGCCGATTAAGCAGACGATCAGACGAGTGAAGCAAGCACGCTGATCATTTACCAGTCCGCCGAGCCAATTACCAAGAAACCATCGATCCATGAGTTCGCTTAACCGATTTGACCTTAGCTGTACCGGTCAAGGAAACTGGGATGTGCGCGGACATCGGCCTTCCTGGGAATTTGATGCGGGTGAAGGGGGCGAAGGGGAATGAGGGTCTCTCTCTCCTAATGCAAGCGAACGACGAATAGGCAATCATAGCGGCCTGTCGCCCTCATGTACATACGAAATAGTCATTTTCGTGTCGAGTGCGCGGTCGCTCATGACGGTGGACCGCGTCCCTTGTATCTCGTCCTGCTCCTCCATCCAGTTCCCGTAATTATTTTGCAGCTGCTACAGTCTCCCAGCTCCTCTATCGCTTTGCCTACACCTGTTAGCCTCACCCTCTGCTCACTCTCAGCTTACAACACAGACGTTCAAGTGGGGAATTTCTAACTATCCACGATCGCGGCTGATTTGTGCCAGGTCGGAAGCTCCCGGATCGCCCGATCATCGCCATGAGCGCTTAAGCCTATCTTCTGGTAACGCGATTGTTCTTACCTTGGATTTATGAGGACATTAGGCTAATCCAGTCCCTGATGAGGAAGTCACGATACCTCTTACAAGGCCCTCAAGCTATCATTAATTTTGGGGTTGAATTTCCTTGACCAGCATACATACTCGGTCATCTACCACACTGACAGCTAGATTTCCTTAGACAACATTGCTAGTAGCTAATTGCCACATTTCATACATATTTTCTTCACAACCCATCTCGGCTTTCATCCTCATCAACTTTATTCCCCGATCAGCTCTTTCTTTTACCCCTTCCTTTTCCCAAACTTTTGGTTCTAGCTCGCCGTACCGTCACCACGTATTGTTTCCCTCCTGCCAAATCCGTTGTCGCGAAAGATTTAATATTCGCAACGGTTGCAATCCATTTTATACCTCATCAGGAGGTGCTCTGAAAACATCATCGCCCATCCCGAAGTCTGGGTAGAAGGAGCTATCCATTTCGCACCACCATTTCATCGCGTGGATAGATCAGTATCAGATTCAGATTCCAACACATGGACCTCAACTTCGTGGCTACTCACACACCATGTCCAGCGATTATTTCACCGGCAGCGAAGGGGCGCGACAGCAACCGTGCTATCCCGACAAGTTACAAGAAATGTGCGAAGCGCCAGCTAGTAGGTATGTCAGTGAAGAAGAGGGTAAAGAGCCACAACAGAAACAAAAAAAAATTCGATTTGACCCGTCCCAAGAAGCTGTCACAACTCCGGCAAAAAAAACCAGGTTCCGGACGCACCATCTGTCACGTTCGTCGAGTCAGAGGAGCCAGGTGTCTCAGCATACGCCTAACCAAGGATATGCATGTAGTCATGTTCCCTCCAAAAACTCAACAAACGCAGCAAGGGGAGAAAGCCAAAATCCTTTTGATGATCCGATGACGAACCCCGAATTAAGATCACAAATGCCAACCCGACCAAGAAAAAGTCTTCGAAATAAAATGCAGGCGTTTAACGAGGATGTGGATGAAGTTAATACCATAGTCAACGCCGAAAAAACACCACACTCTCTGGCTTCTAAGAACAAGACACGTCATTCGGCGCCGATGTCGCGAAAATCCAGCTTTGAGGACGAGGAAGACGAGTTATACCCTCTACACTACCCCCCTCCAAAGACTGAAGATGCATCGTGGTCTGACCTAGATTCTCATCGCTACTTCTACGGAGCAGAAAGCGAAGATGAAAGGCGGATGGCTCAGAGTAAGAGATCACACTCAGTTCCTGGAAATTTTAGGGATGTGTACTCGAAGCCATCAAAATTAGGTCGCTGGACTGAGTCCTCGAGTGTGACACTTGGAACTTCATCCGGGAAATTAACGCCTGATGATGAAAGAGCTGAGCAGCAAACCACCTCAAATACTCAACAGTATAGCGGTGCTTTCCTCTCTTCCATGATGAAATTGTTCAACGCACCCACGAATGGTCCAGCACAATCTTCGGAAAACTATTATACGGAAAACTCTAGCTACGTCGCTTCAGGCGCGGTCACTCCGAGGAAGGCTACCAAGTGGGGCTACTTTAGGAATCAGTCAGATGATACTCTAACCTCTGCTACCGAAGCATATAGTCTGCCGGGCCCACAAGGTGGCCTGAAGAGCTCTAGAAGACCCCGGCTCGGCATGGGAAAAAAGCTGCATAGCTCGGGATTGATTGACTCTGCCAAGAGTAAGCTTGCATGCCGACCAAGACTCGAGGATGAAATAAGAATCACTGTTCACATCGCAGAAACTCTCAGTCGACAAAACTATCTTCTCAAACTTTGCCGCTCACTCATGTTATTTGGTGCGCCAACGCATCGACTTGAAGAATACATGCGAATGAGTGCTAGAGTGCTCGAAATTCAAGGACAGTTCCTCTATATTCCAGGCTGTATGATAATTTCATTTGACGACACTACAACTCACACGACAGAGGTTAAGCTCGTTAAAACTGTCCAGGGTGTAAACCTCGGACTGCTAAAGGATATACATGATATCTACAAGGAAGTAGTTCATGATGTGATTGGAGTTGAAGAAGCCACGCAGAGACTAGATAGACTTAATAACCTCGGTCCTAAGCACAGCCCATGGGTGCTCGTTTTAGTTCATGGATTGGCTAGTGCATCTGTAGCTCCGTTTGGTAGGTTATCAATAATTTCTCATCACAAAAGCTAACCATTCAATAGCCTTTGAGGGACGCTACATTGACCTGCCATTTTGCTTCATCCTCGGATGCATATTAGGCTTTCTTCAACTCATCGTTGCTCCCAGGTCTGATTTGTACAGCAATGTTTTCGAAATTACTGCGGCTGTCTTAACTTCCTTCCTAGCTCGAGCCTTTGGCTCTATTCGCGGTGGTCATTATCTTTGCTTCTCGGCTATGGCCCAGTCATCACTTGCTTTGATTCTTCCTGGATACATGGTTCTATGTGGATCGTTAGAACTCCAGTCTCGCTCAATGGTCGCCGGCTCTGTTCGCATGGTGTATGCCATCATATACTCTTTATTTCTTGGTTTCGGCATAACTATCGGGACCGCATTTTATGGTATTCTCGACTCAAACGCGACGAGTGCGACAACTTGCGCCAAGCCAGGCCTAAGTATCTATGAGAAATGGCCATGGGTTCCCGTGTTCACCCTTTCGCTTTGTATAATAAACCAGGCCAAATGGAAACAGACTCCGGCTATGCTTATCATAGGTTTTGCTGGATATATTGTAAACTTTTTTAGCGCCCAGAAGTTTCCATCTTCGGCTCAAATCTCAAACGCTCTAGGTGCCTTTGCAGTGGGAGTCCTGGGAAATTTATATTCTCGCATGCGGCATGGGGTTGCCGCTGCCGCGCTACTGCCTGCCATATTCGTACAGGTCCCCTCAGGTCTCGCAGCATCAGGATCTTTACTGTCAGGACTTAGCAGTGCCCAGAAGATCACCAACGGCACATCTGACAGAAATCTTACATCACAGATAAACGGGACAAGTTCTGTAGGTTCAGATGACGCTAGCATATTGCACCCTTTTCATACCAATGATTCCGATCCGTCGCGACATTACTTTACACTTCCACTCTTGGTTTGTCCCTGCCCTTTGATTCTTTTTTTCCGTGCGTTTCCGACTATGTATTTTCCTTTATGAAGCTGCTAGTAATCGCCTCAAGTTCGAAGATTTTGATAGTAGTCGAGAAATAATGGTGATAAATTTACTAACTTTTTCTCCAGGTTTCAGTTTCCTCCCCTGAGGATCTCAACACCATAGTCTTCAATGTAGGATACAGCATGATTCAAATTGCGATCGGAATAACAGTTGGATTGTTCATGAGTGCTCTGCTTATATACCCATTTGGAAAAAGAAGGAGCGGCTTATTCACTTTTTAAGAATTTACAAATTCTACAAGATAGTTTCTTGGATTCATACACCTACACTTGGCTACTGCTATCTAAAGAAAATTATGAGACTCGTCTTCTGTTGAGCAAAAGAAACTGTTTAAAGTCCAAATTTTCGAGAGAGGAATTTATCGGAATCAAAGATTGCTCTCATAAAATTGGATTAGACTCGTCTATTTGACACCAGGCGTTATAAAGTTACATGGTTGGAATGAGAAGTTGCAGGCACGGCTACAATATAGTAAGTTTTAAACTTCTAATAGATGTTCTAACAGGCAAAATGCTGACGATTGCGTGAGACAAATTTCAGTGTATATACACATCAATTTTTTAGCGGGCTCTATTGATATGCTAAGGCGCAAGTTCTGTATTGAGTAGAATTTTACTTGCACTCATTAGGTCATTCAAAAGACGGGATTCACAGAATATAAATCCAAGTTGAAGTATACGATGTATCAAAATCGGGTAAGATGGAGATGGGCTATGCCGAAGATGGGTTGAGCAAAAGATCATGCGAATCATACGCGTGCCCATCCAATATTCCATGTTTATGTATCATCAGCTGCAAGTGTCTCGCAGGCTTGATGTTTTCGACAAACTGGAATTTGAAACCGTGGGTAATTTTTCTAATTCCTTCGAGTATTCCAAAAAATGGCTAGCACTCATTATATCGTGACATACTCGGTGGCTGTCTGTCTGCGAATTATGGTGGAGGCAAAGTCGCCGTGACCCAATTTAGCTGACTTCCGAGCTAGTCCAACATTAAAACGTCTATTTGCAGTTAATATAGCGCGTTTGGTTCACACGGAATAGAGGTTAAATGTACCAAATTACTCTAACATACCTCAGGCCATTAGCCTCTAAGGCTACTTGAGCCTAGAGCTCTGGAGATGAAGATTTAACAGCTTGCTGGGGATTTGCCTTCTCGTTACAGCGGTCCCCAATAAGTTGGGTAAGCTGACAACAAAGGACTCAGTAGCATATCTAGTAGCTTCCCACGCGCGACAATCTACGCCATTGGCGCCAAGGAAACTTTGTGCCGATAGTCCAGAGCGATCTTTTCTCGGAGCTTCCTTAATCTTATACCGGCTTGCGAGCTGATTTAATATGATACCAGCTACCCTCATTTTTCCGCCTAATCCCAAACTATTTATTGAGGCCCTTCTATGCCTTTTCGCCGGCTTCGGGTATTAATCCAGTTAAACGAGTATCTGTATGATCTCATAAAAAATGGGATACCGGGCTGAATGTCACATTTCTCTGATTCACGAAACAGGGCAATTTAAATAGAAATGGCAGATAAGTATTTCCCTTGCGCATCGGAAGTTGAACATACTATCTATGCCCGACTTACATAGAATGACGTTAGCCCAGCGCGTCGTAAAGGACACAGAAAAACATCAGTCTGGACATAGACATGCTTGTAACCATCTAGGGTGATTTGCCAGTGATGAAGGACTGAGTGGTATGAAAATCAAGGCCGATGAAACAAGATGTGGCACGAGCTTTCTAAGCTTCGTCCAGGACCTAAAGAACGATTTATGATCTAGCATTGCATATATGAATCATCGATAGTAATCGAATTTTTGTGCATTTTCATGCGCAGCCGTATTAGCCGTTAGGCTAAACTCGAAATATTCTTTTTGTGTCACCTAGCCTCCAGTCATACAGCTCCGCGTGGGCTCTTGTGGCGGGGTTTGGAGAGAGTATCGGATCTGAGAGCCTGACGATCAAGTCGTTAGCTCTCACGCAAGTATGGAATGCCAAAGCCTGTCTACAGAAAAATTCTACAGACTAATGATTTTTTGATCTGTTCGTCGTGAATGTAGCTATGCAGCTGTGACTCACACTGTAGTTTCTTTCTGAATATTCCATAAAATTTGACTTACTAAACTTCGTCTGCAAATACTACCGAAGCCTAGTTATCATAAAATGTAGACATATCGTCCGCGAGGACGTGGGAGCGGGAATTTTCAGATCATTTGGCTGTCCAAGCATGTTTTCGTCATCCAATTTACGAGAATTATTATTATTATTATTATTAATTCATTTTATTGTCCTGTCTGAGTCTATGACTGTGTAGGACATGAAGGTCCTCTCAGCCTATAGGCCAAGGATACCTATACCAGTAGTATCACCCCTCACAAGTCCTCATTCGATCATACACTTAGATGAACCCTTTGCCCTTCATTATCTCCCCTCTCCAGCCAACGAAACGATGGCCATTCGCGAGTGTGTGGCAGCCGGGAAAAATCGTAAAAGTCACTGGGTGCGGCGCTCTCCTAATAACGACATTAGGACTAATTCCGAAGACATAGTGATCCTCCTGATGCGTTCAAAGAGGCCGGCCAGCTGGGCGCTGCAGACTTGTGGGTGCCTCGGAGAATTCACACTCTGCCTTTCTAGCCTCCTTCCAACCCCATCCCGAAGGTCGTGCTAAAATGTCAGAAAAGTCTTGACAGAGTGTGATTGCTGTATAGTAGCTTAGCCCGACTTCTTTTGTAGCGTCCAGGGCGCTGGGGAGTGACGTTGACTCATCGACAAAAAAGTCCTCCTGGCTAATTAGCCGAAATCTTGGTCTTGGCGCCCACAAAAAATACAAAGTTGAAAACCTCTCGAAAATGTCAGTCCTCGAATGGTCTCCAGAGACGTATTTCCCCTCTTGCTCCACATCTCAGCCGCCTGTCCTTCCTCAAGATGTCTAACCCCATTAGAGCAGCAGTCCTCCATAAACCAAGACCCCAACTTTGTATTTTTCGACTTGATTTCCTCCTTGCGGATATAAATAGCGTCGTAAATTTGTAGTGAGTGATAGCTGGAGATTAACGGGGCAAGCTCCTGCATGCAATTGGAGCAACTTCTTTATTGGTCGTTGAGGCGAGATGATGCGTGGTTAGAGATGGGTTGAGGACTCGGATGATAATGATGAGAGAGGCATTGTCGAGAAGTTGTCAAATGGAGATGTGTTTGAGGTTGCTTTCGACTTCGATTCGGATGCGATTCTTCTTGGCTATCCCAGATATGCAGAGCACACTGAGCGATTACACCGGCACCACTGGAAGGTGAAGAATTCGTCTTTACCGGCCCAATTTACGAGAAGTGCGGTTGGGGTATGATGCTTCCAAACCAACACCCAATGACCCAAATAGTCTTAGGCTCAAGAAGCATCATAAACATTAAATCAAAGAAGTCAAATCACAGCTATTAAGAGCGTTCTCTATGAATCTTTCGGTGAAACCTTCTCTCACAGCCAAGTCCAGTCAAATTTCGCAACATCAAAGGAGTTGGCTCACGACGCAATGATTAGATACTCCATACCGGATCAAAATTCAACTCCCAAAAAGCTGATTTCTGATCAAAAACTCATTAAGTTTTCATTTACGACCTAGCACATCCTCATGTCAATGACCAAACCTCTCCTCAAATTAGGCTCTTAGTGTCCTCGAAATATACGCCTATGACGATACTCACAACCGCTGCAGAGAACAAATCGCTGCGCAAAAATTTTGAAGACAGATATTCGGGATAGACGCGAGAGATATCAGGACAGATAGGTTAGGTGATGCGAATGGTGTATACAATCTTGGTAGGGGTAATATTTGGATTTTTGGATAGAAGTTTTCCAAATTGAGTGTCGTTCGTATTTCGGCTTCGATAACGGGAGTGCAGGTTACACTATGAATATCGCTATGGCTAGATGCTGCAGTGGTAAATCATATGGATCAGTATCCCAAGTAGATTCCAGATAACTTGGGCACGTATCCCACTTGAGGCAGGAAATCGCCGGTTTGAATCCGGTAAACTCAACTACATTTCTTGCCATACCGATATGCCTGAATAATTGTGGCTTGCTCGGATAATGAGAGATTTTAACGTTCCCTTTGGTGGGTACTTACGGAGAAGGGTTGACTGTTTGTGTAAGGAAAAATACCTCACAGTGTTATTTGCGAATGAAATCCAGAGTATGAGTATCTCTAATGTCAAAAGAGTCTTCCAATATGTATACACAACATTAATCACGTGCATTAGCTAGATGGCTGAATACACGCTGAATGATTTAAAAAAACGAGCTGAGGTAGCAAAATAAACCGTGCCTGGTAACCGATGAAGTGTAAAAATTTCGACCGAAAAATCTTCATTACAACGTTACTACCATCTCCCATACCTTCTGTTTTTTGCATCAAATTTAAATTACGCATGCGGCTATCTGTGGAAGTTTTGTTTAGCGAAGAGTAAGAGTTATTGGCTGATGGGTCATGATGTAAGAGATATCTGAGACTTGGTTGTGTAAGTCCTTTACTATTCTTGTTTTCCCTAGATCAGGCTTGTGTTTCTACATTACGAGGGGAAGTTTTCAAGTACAAATGGGCCAAATCGCCAAGGCCTGGCTAGTACTTTTTTTTTTTAATTCACTTTGGACCTAAGCTAAAGCTCTTTATCCACACTGGGTCAAGGACCGGCGGATCCGGCAGGGCTCCCTCTAACTTTTCCTACAGCCTAGCTCGTTCCAACCTCGTGAATCGCTACCAAAAGTGCAGCTGATTAAACAAAACCGAAAAATCAAGATAATCAAAACAACTCCGAAAAAAACAGAAGATTCCTCCATATTGGACCCAGCCAATGTGCTCCTCACACATTCCGTCGTCCGTCACACCTTCCAAATGACAAATTTACTCATTCTCCGCTGAGAGCAAGAGATAAGTTAGCAGGTACCTTTTATCCACCTGGCTAGTATTGTTTTTTTATTATTATATTAAAGTCCTAAGCTAAAGCTCTAGGTCCACTATAGGTACAAGACTGGTGGAGCCGGCGGGAATCACTGCTTACAGGCCCAACTCATTCCAACCGCGAGACCCGCTACAGAAAAAGTAGAAGGTAAATTACAACTCAGAAGACACCACCTACTCCGACTCCGAAATCAAGACTCCATCCTTCAACCCTAAATTCAAGTACATAAAAGATTTTCTCAGAGAAACGACACTTCTCAAATC